AGGTAGAAAACACATTTATTGAACAAGGAAAGAGAGTTTGTGGGTAAATGTTGCTGAAAGAAACCTGGGACGTGAACAAAGAACCTGTTGACTGATTACTCCTGTGCTAGCAGAGATGGGACTGAAAATACACTAGACTGTAGTGTCAAGTAACATACCTGATCAATTTCTATTTGCAACAGGAAAAAAATGGATTCCAGATGTTTTAATGAAAAAAAAAAAGACATAACAATTATACTTTTTGAAGTTTTTGAGAAGAAAGCGCTGAAATTCATCTACCAAAATCAAATGGATTTCTAACACCAGTAGGCTCCCTACTGCTGTTAGGAGATTTAAAATACTATGTTTGGAAACCTGACACTGCCATACAACCAGTTTCTAAAGATCTTTATTATTGTCATTATTCAGTCCCTTCAAGCTTCCTTCAGGGATGGAAGGCCCATATTTCCGGCACTAGAGTGTGAGGTGGCTTTGGCAGGGCTGGAGGAGGGCAGAACACCTGCAGCCTCAGCCAAGCAATGTGTGAGCACAGCTGGATTAGGAGCAAAGAAGCAGCACTGGATAAAGCTCTGAAACCACTGAATACATACTAGCTGCTTCCTTCTCAAATACCCTGTACACAAGCATGACTCCTGAGCAAGAAGAGCTGCAGACTTGAAATGTTGGGAAAGGAGAACAAATATCTCCTTCAAAGAAACTGACAACCAACACCCAAAGCAGGATCAAGTTCTGCAAACTGTCCAACCAAACACAAAATATGGCAGGAAAATAAATTTTGTGGGATTTTATAGTGATGTTCTATGTGTAGCTGATTATTTAGTCTTTAATCTCACCTGGAAAAGCAACTTCTTTTGTAAACCTTGTGTGAAAGAGGGACCATGAGAGGCTGTATTTCAAACAACAGCATTTTGGCACTAACTGGACCAGCATGAAAATGCTGAGGCAAATGACATTGGCCAGATCCAGATATGCTCATTTCTACACATAAACTAACAAAAGTTTAGAATTATAAATGGAACCTGAAAACAAGTTAGTTTTGAGATTTCTAGGCTGTAATTAGCAACACAGCTGTTGTTCCATAAAAGTAGAAAACGGCAATTTTCTTGAGTGCTGTCTCTCCTACAGCTTCCAAAGGTCCTCATCACACTACATTACACCTCATGCAACACCCCATGGATTCTCTCAGCTTAATGATGGAAACCTGTTAGCCTTTCCTCTCTAAAACACCTCCAGTGTCTTCCCATCATCTCCTAATTACCCCAAATAATTCTCTCAATACTGCCATGGAGATATTTACAATCTATCACACAGAGTTTACAGACAGATTAAAAGAAAAGAGACTGGTGATTACCACAATGCTATATGTGTTCTGGTAACCAGGTGTTGGCCATCTTTAAGAAAGCAATAAAAGTGCCTTCTTCCTGCCTCTCCTCAGGTGAGACAAAAATGCACTTGCCCATCTCCCCTTTGTCACCAATTTGAAGAGTATATCAGAATTTCCTTTTCTAAATATTTTTATGCCTTCATCAAAATTAGTTAAAATAGATCAAAATATTAAAGCCTGCAGAGGGCTGGGCAGGGCAGCTGCTGCCAGACATCGCAGAAGACAAACTGCACATTGCACAAGTTTACTGCCATGGAAACTCTGCCTGCAAGTGTAGAAGGGTAATTTTTTAAGCATCAGAAATCCTCAGCTAATCACAACAGCCTTGGCTTCCCTGAAGGAAAGGGAGTTTACCAGTTCAGACCAGCTCACAAACTGCCTCAGCAACTCCAAAAGAGTCTTTATTCCCAGTAAAAGGAATGAGTAATAACTAGCTGAAATGTTCATGTTTCTTCACATAAACAATTTTTGTGGAAACATTTCCAGTTCTTCCTCTTTTAAGCACATCAGCCATGAAGCAGCTTGCCACAGATCTTGCCTACAAGTGGCATATGTAAGCTTCAAGAATTTAATTCATGCTTTTCTTTCCTTTGTGCTTCATTAAACTTCATTATTAAGGGTGAGAAAAGACCCCTTTGAACACTGATAGTCGATATGACCATTAGTTAGTGATTTTTTCTGAGATTAGCTACCAGCAAAACAGGCAGCCATGACAGTTTAGATGATACAGAGAACTTGATATGGATGCAATAAGGAAAATGTTTCTTTTTACTCTGGTCAGGAGACGTCTACAGCCAGCATGGGCACCAACAGGTGCATAAGCTGGTACTGACATTTAATTATATGCTGGGGATGTTTTGAGAGTGAAATTGCAGCTGCACAGAAAACATAGCAAGATTCACCTTGTTGAAATGTAGCCATCTAGAAGCTGAAATTTGCTCTGAATTTGTTGCCTGTGCTTTCTCCCTGAAGAAGGATGAGAGGGAATGGCACCACCAGCAGGTATCCCCTTCCCATCATCCCACTGTGGAAGACGAGCAGAGAGATATTGCAGCTATTAGAAGCAAAGTATTCAGACAGACTGAAACATTCCACTTGTTAGCTCTCCTACTTTCCAGACTTAACTGAATGGTTATAACTTTAAACAGTCTTCAAAAACTACAGCAGATCACAATCGGCCCTGTGCTTTTAAGGTACTGCTCTTCAGAAATGTATACATGGGATTTTATGTCAATAAAATACTTTCATTCCACTCTCTGCTAATATAATGCAAAACAGTTTCAGTTCAGTCTGACTTTCATGTAGTTGCCTTTCCCTCAAAAAGATACAAAATTCATATGAAGTCAAAATGGAAACGGAAATTGAAAATGCTACCAAATGTTTGAAATTTTGAAGACTATGTAAAACTACTTCAGATTGTGCTGGACTGATACATGTCCTTGTAGGGAGTGTATAATTATTATGGTGTCTGAAAAGCTAGAAAACCCAAAATCCAAACAAAACTAAAAGAAAAAAATATACCACTATGGCACAGAAATTGCCACCTCAATTCAAAAAATAAAAGCTAACACTGAATATTCTGGAAATATGAGGAAGTATAAAGGCCAATGCATTAAGTAACTGATTTACTTAGAAATAAAAGCAAGAACTATTAAAAAATTTACTTGAGGCAAGAAAACAAATTGTATTTCTTAAAATAAAATCTTACCATCTTAAACCATAATTTTAATGATTTTTCAATTAATTTCATGTATTTGGTCCTAAGCCAATAGCTATTAAATTGTTTTGGGAGGAGGCAATGTTGAAAGTCTGGAATTGCATTTAAACTATAATATTCTTCAAGTATTACATGAAAGGTTCAGAATCCAAATTAACAGCCATAATTCTTGTCTTGTCAATAAGCCATGTCCAAATGTCACAGTGATATCACGATGAAATGCTATTAGACCATCACTGAAAACCCTGCTTTAATAGTGTAATAGCATTTTGCTTTCATTAACACAAAAGGCCTTGGTAGAAGTACTGGAGTCATTTCTCACTACACAATATAAGTTAATATTCTAGAAATCATATTTCAGAATGCTCATTTCAGCTTGATGATCACATCACCACAGCTGTAAATCTGGTAAATGCTGACAGTTTTATGGCTACACAATGCACCATGGCTTTAAGACTCCCTGGACACAGCAAAAAATTTCTACAAATGCATAGAGTCAACTGAGTTGTCTTATCTTCATTTTGAATGTATTTGGTGGACTAGTGTGAGACTAAATTTATCAGGGTCCAAAAGAATATCAAACAAAGTCTCCACAGTGCAAAACACAATGCTCATTCAAAACAATCTATGGAACTGATTTTAAATAAAAGCCATTAATTTGTTCCTCATACAATCTTCACATATTTTTATTTTGCTGACCGTTTTTTTTTCCCTTCTTTTTTTCTTATGTCAGATTTTAAATGCATAAGATATTAAATCTGCATTAACCAATCTCCTATGGAGGCCAGTTTGTGAAAGGCATATGCCCCTTGGTTACCTACAGCTATGAAGATCCAGAAGGCCTCTCCCAACCTTGTGTTCCTGCAGAACACTGGCACAAAGAGAAGAGCAGAACACAGCAGCTGCCCAGAACAGAGGGCATCAGCAAAGGCTCTAGTACTTCCCAGCTGAGAGAAGAGCATTTCACCACAGGTTGCACAGCAAACACACAGGCTACTACCAGAGGAAATCAAATATTTAAACAAGAAGAAAGTGATGTATTTCAGTCATGCGTGAAGGGAAACCCAGTGAATAAAAATTATACAATGCCGCCATGAACTTGCCCTTAAGAAACACACAACAGTTTGTTTTGAATGGAATAGAGTACCAAACACAGCAGAAAAAACTTTCTTTTCCTTGAGGGTGGAGGAAATACAGCAAATTCTTTCAAGCATCAAAAAAAAAAAAAAAAAAAAAAAAAATTAAAAAACACTAAAAGAAGGAGTACACTTGGATTCTTAGTAGAAGAATCCTAGTTAGTTTGCTTTTAAAAGACCAAAAATTGAAATAGATACACTTTGTTTAACTACAGATTGATAATCCAATCATTCCAAAGCTGGGAAATTGAGAGATTAGAGGTTCAAACAGTGCAAAATAAAGGAATAGGAACTCACAGGGATGTCTGATGTTCATGACTGCAATATGCAAGCAGCTAATCACATGACAGAGTTTGTCTTACAAAGAGCTCTTCAAGAAAGACTGGGATTGTTGAAGTGCACAAATCCTTTCAATGGGAAACAGGCAAAGATAGTTTATTGTTTAAAGGCTGCCAGGGCAGGAGCAGCAGCTGATTTTAATTTCTAATGAATATGTTGGGCATTCCTCTTGACCACAGGTTACATTTGTGAAAAAAGGAAATAAGGAGGAAAAATAGATTCCATTTGATGAAGGAGGAAAAGCATAATTGGATATCAACTCAACAATCTAAAAAGTCTGTTTTAAACTAGTTTTGAGGGGTATAGTGACAAAATGAATATTTGTGCTCAGAGACATGGATAAAATAGAAAGTCCCGTTTAGACATCATACAAAATGTCCTGGAAATACAATGCATTAAACATAATTTAAAATGAAATATTTACCCAGATCCTTAATGAGTGATAATGCTTCCCATGATATAAATGCTCCACCACCATCATCCATAGCTCCCTGCCCAACGTCCCAGCTGTCCAGATGTCCACTGACCAATACAACCTGGAAAAGTAGTTATGAGAAAACAAATCTACATGAAAACAATGAATCAGAAAATTCTGTTTAGCATTTAAACATTTTAATGGTTTTGTCACAAAGTTGGCATTTTAATGTAGAACGGGTGGAAAGAAGTATTTCAAATAAAATTAAACATTGTTCTCTAGTTGCTGAATATTAATCTGGGATTCTACTACTTTAAACCACTGTCTAGATAAGATGTGAGAAATGTTTAAATGAAAGGTTTTATCTTGTACATTATGAAAATACATATTTTCCAGAGATCCAGGACTCCTACACTGCCGATTGGTGAAATCTTCTTTCATATTCCATCTGTTTAAACCCTTAGGCATGAAATTTGATTAATCCTATTTTTTGGTGCATAAGGAAAAAATATGAACTTAGACTGAAGCATTCCTAGAGGTTTTTGTTTTATTATGTATCTATAGTACTTGTCACAGAGGACCTCTAATTTATTACAGCATCCCCTATGTGCTATAACAATGACAAGATATTTTATAGTTCATTAGTCATAAGGACCTTTTAAAACATGTTAGCAAGTCACAGATGGGTTTTCTGCAAAGAAAGTTTTATGACTACAGCAGAGAATAGTAGTATGGGCATCTCCAGAAACATCTACTTGCAGATCTGAACCTTCCAAATGTTGACAAGTAGTATCAGACAAATACCACAAGTGTGACAGTTTCCCAGCTAGGCTTTGAGCTGAAGGGCTGATGCATCTATGATTACAAGGGAAAGGTCAAGGAGGGACAAAAACTCTGAGCCAACAGGCAGTGTGGTAAAATGGTGCAACAGCACAAAACCAAGAGCAGGATGTGTTCAACCTATGACAATCAGAGTAAGGAAAAACTGAAAGAGACCCTGGAGCATCCACTTGTGTTATGTTCAGAACTGACCATACACAAAGGGATGCTTCCCACTCTCTGGTTAGGTGATGTCAAACAAATCTCAGAGTTGTGATCCAGAAAAATGTAAAAAATATTAATTATTTCTGCCACCTTCTTCTCCCTAAGGGGTAAGGATCTCCTGGCATATTATCTCATCTACCATTCATCACTGGACAACTAGTCTAGCACTGTAAATGAGAACATAATGTGTTTTTCCTGTTACAACTCCTGGAGGGAAAGAGTCTAGGCTGTAATGTATGCAGTAAACATTGCAAGGAAGTAACTTGGAGCACAAACATGAAGATCTCTATTTTCTTCTTCATGTCAGATAAATCTAAGTATGTTTTCACTGGCTATTAAAATTAATGGACTATCATGGCAAGATAAAAAGTATCAAGTACTCATCATACATCCATGTTTTTTCATCTAACTAAGCACAAACTCAGGTAACATAACTGAAATGCCCATAGTTTTAAACAAAGACCATGAGAAAGTAATAATCATACCCATTGAACTGCCATGGGTCCAACCAGAATGCACCGAATATCTTTAAATTTAGAAAATAGACTGTGAGATCTTTATAAATGTGTGTGTTACAAGAAACAGAACAGTCATGCCTTAGAAGCAGAAAAAGCTTGTGATAATTGTGAAGAACAGCTTACTCTTTCCTTCTCACGTCTCAACTCCCTTTTCTGGTTATCCAGCATTAACATGTGTTTGCTTTCCATCACAGACTCATTTTCTTGGTAGAAAATAGACATGCTGCAATCTTTATTACAAAACGTCCCCTCCTTCAAAAGTGCTTAAACTAGGATGGATGGGCCCTCTGTTAAAGCCTCAGAATTTCTCAGGAGTATTCCTGTGATTCTGTGATTTAATGTCATGACCCTCAAAGGGCCAACACAAAAGATTGCAAACAGCAGGTTTTCCAGGGACACTGCCCTGCAGTAGATGTACTTAATAACAACATAGCTTGAAACCAGTTCATCTGAGAAAAGCAATACCAGCTTTGGAGGTAGAAATGCTCCTGAAATGAGAGCAGAAAAGAGAAATGCTCACTGTGGCTGTTCTTTTTGCTTTCTTCTAAGGGAGGACTATGCACATGTTCACACTTGCTTGTAGTGAGGGCAATGGATGAATGAATTCTGCTCTGTGTTTTTTCCTGAACATGCAACCCCACTGCAACCTGCCTATGCAGGAGAGAGTTCAAATACCACCACTTTGCAGCCAGTTGATGCAGACTCAATACAGTCCACTCAATAAGGAATCCACAAATAATAATAATTTTAATTTTTTAAAAAGAACAGAAAAGGCTCTGAGTGAAAACCCAACTGTCTGTAATATAAAGGATATCTCAGCTTCAAAATCGCCATATGGTTTCTTTGTTCTTGAAGCAAAAATTGGTTTTATAAAATAACTATTTTGTCTCCTGGGAAACAGAGCTTCAGGATGAAATAAATTATTTAGAATTAGAACAAGTTTGTAAACTCACTGAGAGACAACCAAGTTTACAATAGGATGCCTTTTCTTTAGCAGTGAAAGAATATGTCACTAATGCTGTTCCCTGGGAGCAATCTCAACAGTGTATGAGAGGGAATTACTACTAATTTCTGTGGAACAACACATATTGCAACAGCAGGAAATTCTGAATCATAAGAAGGTGGTGTAATCTCATTTGGGGTTACAGACTCCAATTGTAAAGCTTCTTCACAGACTCCAGAACATTACACCAAAACAGATCAAGGTTCAAGTGGATTGAGAAAGCCAGTTAATTTTATGGATGAACTTCAACTTAAATTTACTGAAGCTGTTGCCAAGAGCAATTACATAAATACAACCATTGTACCTCTATGTGAAAGTTTCTTCAAAACAGTTGTTTTTTTCAAACTGTCGTGTTTTTGTAGCAGCTGCTGAAATGAAAGTTTCACTGATGATGCTGATAGCCATTGACATTCTTAAAATAAGACACAGTTATAAAACAACAAAACCCACTGTGTTTATCTTGATCTTTAAGTAGATGGAATGTATCTCAGCAATGAATGGAAATATTTCTGAAATTCAGTCTAAACCACTATATTATTTAAAGTAATATTTTTAATAATAGCGTAATAGTCTGTATAGATGGGCTAATAACAAAGGCAGTGAAAGCTATCAAGGATGTATGATTTTGCATTTTCCACATTGCTTTCAAAGCTGTTATGTGATTCTAAATTCCAAATCTACACAGACATTAATAATCTATACAAAGCAACCCTATAGAAATGCCAGAAGAACACAAGCACTGCAAAGCCATGCTTGTAAGTATCTGTAAGTATAGGTATTTGTTTTAAATATGCAGAGAAACCACAAATATCTGTACAGGACATTACAAATACAGCAATACATATCTGCCAAATTGATTAAAAATAAATTTTGAATAAAACAGCTTGAACGCAACCTGATAACTTAAGATTCAACTTTCTTATTCTATTTCCTTCTGCATCAGCATGATGATCTCTATAGGATGCCTTTAGGTCATATGCAGCATTTCAATCAAGCATACTGAAATATTAAAAAAAAATTCTAAACACAAGAAAATTATGAAGAGGAATCGCACATTCATATACATGTTCATATGTCATCTTTTTCTAAGCAGGATGGTTTATGTCACTAAAAAATAATCTCCCATACCATATGTAGTCACACAGGCCAATTGCATTTGTCATGCAGCTTCATAAAATGCAAGTGAACTACCTTCTGCTTGACTGAAAAGAATTTCAAGAAATGCCTATCCCATTTTTAGTTAAAAGGAAAGGCTTCTTTCTATGCAACCTTAGAGATCATAAATATTGGACATTAGGAAAGAACTATAAGCAACATTTTCAATCACTTAATTTAATCTAGAATAACATTTATATTTTTTTAAAACCACCATGCAGAGTTATTTCATGTGCCTGAGACAGATGTATATCAGGTAATGCAAGAGTAATGGAAGAGTAATGAAGTCATCATTCATCTTTGCCCTTCATGGATGAAGAAGGCTTCATGGATGGAGGTTTGGGTTCACAGAATAGGATCTTTATTTATAGGAATCTGCCTATCAACACATTTCTCTTAGAAAAGCATACTAATAACTTTCATTATGCAAAACACTGAAGACAGTGAAGATAAGGAGCACCTTAATGTGCAAGAGAACAGAAAACTTAAGCATCACATACACAAAGAATCACAGAACCAGAGAATCATGGAATCACAGAACCAATTAGTTTGGAAAAGACCTTTGAGATCCTCAAGTCCAACCTATGACCAAATTCAACCTTGTCAACAAGACCATGGCACTAAAGGTCACACACATTTTCTTAGGCACCTCCAGGGACAGTGACTCCACAACTCCCTAGAGAAGCCCATTCCAATGTCCAGAAGTACTTTTTCCTAATGTCCAACCTAAATATCCTGCTGTGCAGCTTAAGACTGTGTTATCTTGATGTTGCTGGATGCCTGGGAGAAGAGACAAAGCCTTACCTGCCTACACCCTCCTTTCAGGCAGTTGTAGAGAATAAGGTCTCCCTTGAGCCTCTCTTTCTCTAGGCTAAACAACCCCAGCCACTCATCATGGCACTTGTGCTCCAGACCTTTCACCAGCCTTGTTGCTCTTCTCTGGACATGCTCCAGCACCTCAACATCCTTCCTAAACTGAGGGGCCCAGAACTGGACACAGCACTCAAGGTGTGTCCTCACCAGTGCCCAGCTCAGGGGAAGAGTGACCTCCCTGCTCCTGCTGGCCACACTATTGCTGATACAGGCCAGGATGCCCTTGGCTGCCTTGGCCACCTGGGCACACAGTGGCTCATGCTCAGCCTGGTGTCAATCAGTACCCCCAGGTTCCTTCCTGCCTGGCCCCTGTCCAGACACTCTGTCCCCAGCTGGTAGTGCTGCATGGGGTATGACCAAGAACTAAACAGGATATTAGAACCAGATCAAGCAGTTTTAGTCACAACACATTCAAACCCCAAGCATCTGTATGCCAAAACACCAAGCTTAAACAATGAAATCCTCTAGGCTGTAACTCGAGTTCTTCTCAACTCTTCATGTACGTTTTCAGTTAAATAATGCTTGAAG